CCAGTGCTCCTGGATCTGGCGGCTCGCCATCAACTGGATCTGCTTCAACAAACACATCGGAAGGGACCACTCTGCGCACTGAACCATCACATTCTTTAAGGACCACTCTGCGCACTGAACCATCAAACATCAAAATGCGACAGTCCCCCTGGAGTGCCTCCTGATTCTGAGGAAAGCCATCGACGTCCCCCTGGAGTGCCTCCTGATTCTGATGAAAGCACCCGACGTCCCCCTGGAGTGCCTTCTGATTCTGAGGAAAGCCATTGACCGCAACCTGCCAACTCGACTGGTTATGCATCTCCGTCATCAACTGCTGAACACAATCTATGACCCCAATGAAGGTCAACATGCTGGGCTCGATGCGCGACATCAGCTCCCCACTGTTGCTCATCACCGCCGCGCCGCCGCTGAACTCTCGAAGTTCCCTGCGACCATTGAGCCGAGTTTCCCTCGTGAGGTCACTGACATCTTGCACACAGTCTGCTGACATAAGCAACACAAACGGTTTGCCCCGAGCATCTTGCCATTCAGCAGCCTGGCTGGCTAACTCCAGAGATTCAGCAGTCTTGTCTGGCCTCAGAAACATCACCTCAGGACACCGCTCACGGACCATTTCCCAAAACATCTCTGGGAACATAGGCCACAACAGCCCAACCTCATGGTCCTCATAGACAGGGTTGTCACTCTCTGCAAGACCGTACTTTGGTGAAACAAACTCCCACACCTTCCCAAACTCCTGGGCATGCCACGCCTGAATCAACTTTTCCGACGACGCCTTCAGCATCTTGTGCTTGCCGTCCGGGAGGGACTTCACTTTTCCAAACTCTTCACTCCACATAATCATGCCACCCTCGTCCTCAAAGATCGCAAGGTAGCTGTTGCCCTCCTCCAAGCATCGCGGAAGCCATCCAACCTGCTTCTTCCACTGAGGCTGAACTTGGTTCTTCACGTAGTACACACGCGACACTGGCATGGCCCACGGTGTGGCACAACCACTCGGGCAAAATGCCCTCATCTGCAACTGCCTGGCCGTTTGCAGCTGCGCCTCGGAGGTAATAAGAACGTACTTCTCCGGGCTCTCTTCGGGCGCAAAGTCGCCCGATTTCCTCACCCCTGAGTGTGAGGATGCGGGTGATGCACCATCTCGAATCCCCCGTTGGCCTGTGCCATGAACGACTGCATCCAAGCCGCTTGCTGGTGCATCTGTTGCTGGAGCTGGGCTATCTCCTGCTGGTAGCCCTCCTTCATCTTCTTGGATCGGTCCTCGAACGCTGCCTCCAGCTTTTCTTTCTCCTCCTGCACATACATCTCCGCTTGGCTCTGAAGTCGGCCGATCTCCACATTCACCTTCTGCTCCATTTCCAACTCCATGTCGGCAATCTCCTGTGTCTCCGGAGGTGCCGCCTGCAACTGAGCCTGCTCCGTTGGGTCCCACATGAAGAACTCGCAGACCCTCTTCTGGCACCTGAAGAAGTGCCTTCCCACTGTTGGCCCCGGCTTGTGCACTTTCCACCTGTGGGCTGGAACCCCGCACGTACACTTCACAGTTGGCGCCATCGCCGAAGCTTGCTGCGCCATTGCTTCCTGGATTTCCTTGGGGTTCAGGTACTTCCAGCGGGACTTGCACAGGTCGCAGTACACGTCCTTGCTGTACTGATTCCCTCCGCCCTTCAGGCTCACAGCCGGGTGTTGGCAAACTTCCGGATCCGCCGTCGCCGGAGTCGCCGACTTTCTCGTAGAGATCTTCGGGGCATACTTTATAATCATGGCATACTCCAGCTGCTTCTCGTTGGCACCCTTCGAACTCGCCGCGGTGGAGGATGGGGTAGAAGCTGACCGGTCCGGAGGACATTGTGGCAGCAACAGCCGTCGCGAGGAATCGGGCAGCCAGATGGACTGGCAAGCGAGCGCAGGCCACTGGAGTCGGAGGCCGTGCCACGGTTATCGGTGTCATTGAGGCACCCATGGGCATTGCAGGGGTCAACGGGCTGCTGGAGATGACGGTAGTTCAGGAGGACATTCCCCTGCTCCTTCCCATTAAGCTTCTTCGACAGCTCAGGGCGATTGTCGATCTGGACGAGCAGATGCTGGTGCTCAAGAAGTTCGGGACCAAGGCCAGTCTTTGCGACCTTCCGTCAGGGCATGTTGCAGTGGATGTCATGGCGTTTGCACCGGAGGGTTGGAGTCTGCCGAGAGAAGCCACAGCTGCTAACTTGTCAATGGAACAGTTCACTTTGATGAATTGCAGCTTCGTGAACCAAAGCATGATTTCTCTCGAGAGCAAGGAAATTCGAAGGACTCCTGAAAGCAGCGACCATGGCTCAGGCGCTGCTCCACCGGATGATGGCGCAGAGAGAGTCCGATGTTCCGCGGGTGAGAGCAAATCGGCGGCCACCCCAACGGACGGCAGCCGAGATGCGGGTTCAGAGGGCATTGCAACGCTGGCGGGTGCTAGGCGACAAGCTGTTCAACCTGACGGTGTTCATCGAGGCCTTCGGAAAGGTCGAAGCTTGATCCCAAGACCACGTTCCCTTAGGGAGTCAACTAAACGAAGCATAGCCGGCTTGCCTATGAGCCCGTCTTGGGCTGCCGTGTCCACCACACCTTGCGTAGATGAGGTGACCACACCCACGAACGACTCAGCACTCTGGCCTTGGTCCTTGTCGCTCTCCTTTGTCCTTGACGATGGTCTTCTCCTGCACACGGCATTCATGACTTGGTCAAACAGCGGAACATAGCTTGCATCATGCTCGGGCTGCTCTCCATTTTCGACCACTTTTCCAAAGAAGCTGGCTGAGTCTCCTGGGCTTTGCCCGGTCACAAAGAAACCCGAACGCGTTGAGGATGCTGTCGGGGCAGCCGAACTTCTCTGGCTCTCCAAGTGCTGGCGGCCACGGGCATCCGGAACTCCACGGCACTCTTTTGCCCAGTGACCTATGCATCCGCAACGGGCGCACCTTGTCCTGAGCTTCAGCTGGTCAATATGCACTTTCGAAGCATTGCCGCCCTTGCCGCCATTGAAACGCACCTTCTCTCGGCTTCGGGGAGCAAACGTAGGCTTGCCCTTCCCACGGCCTGGCGCTCCACCAGAACCCTTGCCCTTGCCCTTGTCTACGGGATAGTATCCACGAGCATTCTTTTGATCACGTATGCTCCGCCGCACTTCTTGGTACGTCGCCAAGGCTTCTATCATATCCTCCTCATCGTAGACGTCTTGTAACTCTCCGGCATTGATGTACACATAGTCGTCGTCTCCGTCGCTCTCGTACTCCACATCAACGTCCACAGGGAAGGCCTCGTTCCTGTACTCGCCGTCCGGAGCCTGGCCCTCTTCATCCTCTTCTCCATAGAAGATGCCCCTCTTCTTCTCGTGGACCACCTTCTCGAGCTTCCGGAGGTTCTTTATGATGGTGGGCTTGTCATACTTTCCTTCACACCACGTTATCATCTGATTGTCCTGCACCTCAGTCAAGTTGGCGTGGCGGTAGATGACATACCCAGAAGCAATCGGTGGGAACGTAACCCCCTCTCTCTCAAGCTCCTTAAAGGCATGTTCCATTCTGATCACATACTCAGCAAAGCCTTCCCGAGCACTTCTCACTTCTCCGTAGATCGCCGCTTCCATTGCCTTAGGCAGGCTCGTCTCCAAGTGAGGGGCAAAGTGCTCTTTGAGCACCTTCATCACATTCTCCATGCCCTTCTCACACGCAATCTCCTCGAAGGTGAGGCCCTCAGCTGCTGCCCTGGCTGTGCCGCTAAGTTGCCTCAGAAGCTTTGCGCCCCACTTGTTCTTCGGAACCTCCGTCTCAAACTCCCAGAGCTTGATCTCTTTGAGCCACTTAGAAAACGTCTTGTCGGGGTTCCGGCCGTCATAAGGAGGAGGCGGTTCACGATCTTTCCAGCCCCCGGGACTGCCACCGTGCCCTGCTTCTCCTGAGGGCTGTGCAGCTTGCTGCGCAGCGGGAGGCATGCAGGATCCTGCTCACACAACGTGAGCTCCGCTACCACCTGTGGAACACAGGCGGCTCTGAAAACTGAATCCAAACTCGATCTCGCACACACCGAAGTCAAAGCTGCGCGACACACTCGCGCTCCGGCTTTTCGCCTGCAATTCCATACAGCGTGCCAAGTGACATCAAGGGGCCCCTGTGGTTTGAGCCACATACGGCGGCCCACAAGCGAGTGCTTTCAGGAAGCGCTGTACACACCAATCAGAGAGCATTATCACAGCATGCTACCAGCTATAATAACACCAGAAGCTGACAGCACTCTGGCCTTGAGGGCGCGTCTTGCATCAGGGAGGCATCCTCAACTTCCAACGGACAATCTTCCTGCCGGCAGTCCTGAGACACAGTTCGCCCCTAGTCTTTGCAAAGGACCGCCTTTCAGCGTTGAGGCTCCGGCTTGAGAGACCGCAGCCGCAGCTGAGACGACCGCGACCAGGCGCTTCATCATAGCCATCGGCATCAGCGCACTGGACACCGTATGGACAGGCTGATCTCTGCCCGTGAGCCCGGCCGGCGAGGCGCCATGCACTCTTTATGCAATCCCGCACTTCGCACGGTTGCTGGCTCCGCCTACTTGTAGCCATTTCAAGCCTTTTCGCCTTGTCTGCGTGATCGCGGGACATGCGATTCCACAACAGGACGGACTATGGACGGGCGTTGCACCTCGCCTCCGTCTTCACAATCAGGATGTGCAAAGCTCTATATACCTCTGCCTTCAAGAAAAGTAAACGAAAAACGAAACACTTGAAGCTAAAAGAATCTTAGTGGGGCCGCAGGCAAACCCTGCGGAGCAGGACTCGCGGCAAGCCGGCTGGACTTGGGTCCACTGCCAAGCCTGGCGAGATCCTCGATGGCTAAAGGGCCATCCACAAAAATGCACAGTGCGACGGGCGGGTTCTAAAAGTTCTGGGCCGTCACCCAGGTTCGCTGGCCCGTCAAGAGTTCCACAAGTCTGGAGAGCAGATTGCCTTCCATCTTCGGATGCAGCCGCCCCTAGCGCTGCTGCACGATGCCGGCACCCTGCGGGACCAGCGGGAAGGTCACCTCGTGACGTCCGACACACGTGCCGTGACACTTGCGACACGAGATGCCCATGAAAGAAAGTCTGTGAAGGCGGAGGCACATCCGAGACCCAGCGTCGGTCCACGGGCCGGCGTGAGCCCTTCGGGGAGACGTCGGCCTCCAGCCCAGCATCTATCATGTCCTGACACAAGACACATCAAAACACCAAATGCGCAGAAAGAGCAGCGCAGAGGCCATGCGGGAGCTCCTTGCAGAGGTTGTCCATGGCCTGAGCGGACAAGATGCAGCACCTTTGGTCCACGTGCCAGTTCACCTCCACAGGCGAGCAGACCTGCCAGCTGCCGGCCAGAGCCAGGGCTAGTGACTCGTGCAAACGTGGAGGCACAGCCTCAGCATGACACCACGTCAGTCCTCGTCGTCGTAAGAGGGGCCAGTGGTGGAGCCCACGTACCGCACAGCGGAGCCGGCAGGAGGTTGCTGCCACTGCTCCAGGAATGTCCGGTTTTGGGCATCCACGTAATCGTTCTGCAGGGCAGCAGATGCACAGATTCAGATGCGCATCCGAAAACCAGCCCAGCAATGATCACTCGGGCCCGGCTAGCGCAGATCCGCAGAAATTAAAGCTCGGCATGCTGGCGGTCCAGCGAAGGGTCGTTGACGATGAGGCAGATCTGCACACGCTGCAGCATCATGCAGCATCCACGATACGCGACAGGATTTGCACACTCGGCGGTCACCGTGCCTGCGCCCGGACGATGACATCTGCGTTGTTGGTGCGCGTGAAGGCGCCGCCCAAGCCGGCCCTACCGAGATATCTTGCATGCTGCGCTCGCCCCATGCTGAGGCACTCTCCAAGATCTGCAGCACAGGCACGTGATGCCCAGCTCCCCCTCGCTACCATCCTCCTGCAGCTTGCCCGGTCCTCATGCGCAAAGCCGTCACCCGCATCCACGAATCAGCCGTGCTGCGTGTGCCACACACGCCTCCAGTAGAGAAGACCCAGTGGAACTCGTACCTGTGGAGCGCTGGGCTACACTCGACTTGGCACCTCACCTCTGCGCAAGCGTGAAGGGAGGGAGGGAGAGTGGGGGGGTGGCACGTGCCACCGACTTGTGCAGCTTTGCAGTAGGTGAAGCTGAAGGAGGATTCGTCCAGCTTGGCGTCGTCGATACCTCAACTGCCACTGCGACCCCTCACTTGCACCCAGAATCCGAAAACATGTGTAGCCTCGTGGCCGTCTGTGGGGCACCACAAGCCAGGGACCACCGGCTGGGAAACGTTGTTCTCATCCGGCACGGTAACGTAGCTCGCCTTCTCGACAGATATCTCTGTGGTGACACGCTGGTGGGCCACGGTGCAGCCTGGGCACCCACTCTGGAGACCGCCTGTCATACGCGTTCTCCATGCGGTGCTCCGCCCCCAGATGCCAGTGGATGTTCACTTGCTCGAACCTGAAGACTTAAGGTAAAGAGTGAAGAGCAAGAACCTCAAGAGCAACGGGCTGGCGTCAGGTGCCTGTCGATCTGATCGGAGCCATAGGGTTCGTACCTCAGAAGCACGCCGGAGCAGCTCAAGACAGCGTCCGCGCACTTTTCGAGACCTCGTGATCCTCTCGCCAATGTAGCCCGGACTTACGTCCCGCGGAGCTTGAGGCTCAGCGTCCTGCACCGACACAGCAGCATACAGCCGCAACATCCCAGCGCTGCGCTCGCCAACGCGAGTGGCTCCTGGCAGAGAAGATCAGCGCCGCGAGCCTCCCAAACCAGGCAGCAGAGAAAGAGTTTGGAGAGCTGCATGGCGCAAGTCTAGTTGAGACCTTCCTTTGCTACACAACTTGAGCAAACGTCTCCGCGGCACTGACATCTGCGCATCACATCCGACATTCTCATGTCGTACCGTCTGCAAAAGCCTGTCGCACTTGCGGCCCTTCCCCTCAAAAAGCAGTGCAAGGCGATTACACGGGAGTTGACATCAGCGGCGGACGAGCATTCTCTTTGGTGCTCTGTGTGTTCACTGAAATTGTGACTCCACAACAGTGCGTAGTATCTCTGTGTAGCACATGAACACTGCGTAGACATGGAGATAGGTAGGTCGAGGTCGGCACGTATAGCTTTGTGAGCAGGCTGGGTCACTCAGCTCCCAATGCTCGAAATACATGCAGACGCAAGCCGTGAAGCTTGTGCTGTGGATGTGACGTGGGATGTCGGATACGTGCTTCCGTGCTTCAACGTCAAGCTTCAAGGTGGTGAATTTCCTGAGGTTGCAAAAGCTCGGCTGGACTTGGGTCCACTGCCAAGCCGGCCACAGCCCAGGAAGGTGGCTAATAGGCCATCCACAAAAATGCCTCGAAATACAACCCTAAAACTTTGATGCTGACTCTGGCTCTAAAAGTTCCTGAGGAGCAATCATCCCCAGACTCGCCAAGACCCAGGTGGAATACTCTCAAGGTTCTGCTGGCTCAGGAGACGGGAGACGGTGACAGTGGGAAGGTTACTCCGGCCGAGATCTCCTGACTGACCTTGCTTCACTGCTTCACATGGGCTCCAGGCTGCCAGCTTTCCATCCTCAAGCTACAGCCGGGCGGCGAGTATTCGCGAAGGCTTGGGCGAAAGGTCCTTGGAGAGACCCTGTCCTGGCAACATGGATGGCAGCTTCGCCACATCAGACAGGTTCACATGTTTGCAAGCTCTGCAGCGAGTGGGATGGAACAAAAAGGGGAGTCTATCCAGAGAACCCCAGCCTTCCATCTTTTCGCACAGCCTCAGATCACGACAGGCTCCCCATTTAAGGATGACGATATCAGACCTGATCTACGATCTACTGGAACCTCTGGGAAACCGCCCACCGGCCAAAACAGGGACAGGCCACCTGTCGAAGGTCTGCGCAGAGAGTGTGCAGCACCCCGTGTCTACATGCCAGTTCACCTCCAGAGGCGAGCAGACCGAGTTGTTGAAGTCCGTGCCCGTCGTGGAGCCGATGTAGCGCACGGCCCTCCCCAAGGGTGGCTGGCGCCACTGTTGAAGGAAGTTATCATAGTCTGCGTCTACGTCCGTCAAGCTCTTGTCGTAGATGATCCGGCAGACTTGACCCCGGACGATCACCTTTGGGTTGATCGTGCGGTTCGCGGCACCTGCCAGACCGTCCGTGATTCCCAGCTCACCTTCGGCCCCTTCGTCACGGAGACCGACGAGCGGCGCACCCGTGGAGTACACCCAGTGGAACTCGTAGGTGTAGTTCACACTGACACCCTTACAAAATGTGAAGTTGTAGAAGTCCCGATCGTCGCTGCTCACATCATCCAGGCCGCAGAAGAAGCCTGCACGGATGTCCGGGGACGATGCCGGGCGCACCAGAGGAGTTGCGAGCCCAACGTCCTCGGCGCTGCGGAAGTAACCGTTCGGGACCTCACTCTTGTGCTCGGCGCCGAGGTGGAAGTGGAGGTTCGCCTGGATGAAACGTGGGGTGGCGTCGCCGTCCAAGGGACGTACCCGGGCCTCCAGGCCACCCCGAAAGCCAGGAGTGACATCTCGTGGGGACTGTGGCTCTGCATCCTCACAAAGCAAAATCTTTGCCGTCTCGTTGGATGTCTCGGTAGAGTTGCTCAAGAGCCTCGGAAGGGAGCAATGGGATGGGGGTAGGGTTCACAGACGTGCCGAGTGCAGTTCAAGCTGCGAAGGATTGAACTGGGGCAGAGAGCTCGATGGCCGCAAGCTGGCGTGCTTCTTGAACCTGGGAGCTACCCGAAGTCTGGCGAGTTCGCCCCATCCCCATCTACATCCGCTCAGCCTATCATTATGCTCTCAGCGGCTGCATCAATGCGGAGTCCTCGACCTGGCACTGCGTGCAGTCCTGCCAGGACATGTCCCAGACGTCCAGCGGCCCCGCCCATGTGCCCACCCTCCACCAGCGACTTCACACGAACAGCCACCGGTGTGCGACATATCATGGAGCTCACGCGACGAGGCGGTAAAACTGGAGCAAGGCTCTGTACCCCGCCCCATCAGGATTCGTTGCCCTCTGTTGGCCCCTGTTGCACTCCGGAGAGAGGATGAGAGCAGAGGAGCCGAGCGCACTGGTCTTTGCCTCTTTCTCCCTCCCTAGAATCCTAGAGTTGATCTCGTCAAAAAGTCCTTGGGAAGGGCGCTGGCGGCAGCGAAGAGGAGGAAGAGATACATGGCAACACACTTCCACACGCGGTCTCGTCAACGGGCTCTAAGTGAGGCTCTGAATTGAGGTCAACAGCGGGCAGACCTGCCGCGCATCCGGGGCATTCACTCCCTCACGACGCAGAGCTGCTGGCTGCTTCCACGTAACCTTTTCGCCTTGTCTGCATGATCGCGGGCTACGCGATTCCACAACAGGATGAAGTCGGAGAAGGGGCTGAAAAGCTCTCTCCGTGCAAAGCTCTGCCTTCTTGACAAGTAAACGAAAAAGACTTTGGTGGTCTGGCCACAGGCAAACCCTGCGGAGAAGGACTCGCGGCAAGCCCGGCTGGACTTGGGTCCACTGCCAAGCCTGGCGAGATCCTCGATGGCTAAAGGGCCATCCACAAAAATGCACAGACGGGCGGGTTCTAAAAGTTCTGGGCCGTCACCCAGGCTCGTGGCCCGTCGCGAACTCAATGGTTGGTTCATCAAGGGCTGCATTATAGGACGCCTCACTGAAGAATTTCTGGTATGGGCGATACAGCCAGAGGGTAGGTCACCACGCTGGAGAGGTTTCGGCTCACCTCAGACTTACCCGGCCACGGTTGTGACATGATGCAGCCTCCGGAAGCTTGGGTCTCACTGCTCGTGCCAAGCGGCCAGTTCCCGAGATGGCTTCGGTGCAAGGTCCTTCTCCAAGCCTTGGCCTGCACAGAAGGCTGAATCTGAAGGCTGCATATGGATGCGTGCTAAAGCAAAACACCGCATTAAACTCTGGCAGAGTGGCGACTCATCTCAAGGCAGAGCCTTGGAGCATTGCATTAAAAGGAACGAAAAGGCAAGCTGTGGCAATCCAATCAGGCGGGCCACCTGTCGAAGGTCTGCGCGGAGAGAGTGCAGCACTCCGTGTCTACATGCCAGTTCACCTCCAGAGGCGAGCAGACCGAGTTGTTGAAGTCCGTGCCCGTGGTGGAGCCGAGGTAGCGGACTCCCCGTGTCTCTGGCGGCTGGCGCCACTTTTGAAGGAAGTTATCATAGTCTGCGTCCACGTCCGTCAGGCTCTTGTTGTAGATGATCCGGCAGACTTGACCCCGGACGATCACCTTTGGGTTGATCGTGCGGGCAGCGGCGCCTGCCAGACCGTCCGTGATTCCCAGCTCACCTTCGGCCCCTTCGTCACGGAGACCGACGAGCGGCGCACCCGTGGAGTACACCCAGTGGAACTCGTAGGTGTAGTTCACACTGACCCCATTGCAGTGCACGAAGTTGTAGGAGTCCCGATCGTCGCTGCTCACATCATCCAGGCCGCAGAAGAAGCCTGCACGGATGTCCGGGGACGATGCCGGGCGCACCAGAGGAGTTGCGAGTCCAACGTCCTCGGCGCTTTGGAAGTAGCCGTTGGTGATATTGCTTTTGTGCTCGGCGCCGAGGTGGAAGTGGAGATTGGCCTGGATGAAACGTGGGGTGGCGTCGCCGTCCAAGGGACGCACCCGGGCCTCCAGGCCACCCACGAACGTAGGAGTGAGATCTCGTGGGGACTGTGGCTCTGCATCCTCACAAAGCAAAACCTTTCCCGCAGGCGGCGGTGACGGCTCGGTCGTTGTCCTTGTGGTGGGATTCCCTCCGTAGCTGCCGTAGCTGTAGTAGCCCTGGCGTCCACGCGACCACCAGTGGCGCTTCCAGCCCCACTGCTGCCGCTGCCACTTATTCCAAGATCCATCGATGCGATCTGCCTCCTCTACCGAGGACCTTGAAAGCAATCTCGATGTGCTGCGACGACACAGCATGCTACCAGCTATAATAACACCAGAAGCTGACAGCACTCTGGCCTTGAGGGCGCGTCTTGCATCAGGGAGGCATCCTCAACTTCCAACGGACAATCTTCCTGCCGGCAGTCCTGAGACACAGTTCGCCCCTAGTCTTTGCAAAGGACCGCCTTTCAGCGTTGAGGCTCCGGCTTGAGACACCGCAGCCGCAGCTGAGACGACCGCTACCAGGCGCTTCATCATAGCCATCGGCATCAGCGCACTGGACACCGTATGGACAGGCTGATCTCTGCCCGTGAGCCCGGCCAGCGAGGCGCCATGCACTCTTTATGCAATCCCGCACTTCGCACGGTTGCTGGCTCCGCCTACTTGTAGCCATTTCAAGCCTTTTCGCCTTGTCTGCGTGATCGCGGGACATGCGATTCCACAACAGGACGGACTATGGACGGGCGTTGCACCTCGCCTCCGTCTTCACAATCAGGGTGTGCAAAGCTCTATATACCTCTGCCTTCAAGAAAAGTAAACGAAAAACGAAACACTTGAATCTAAAAGAATCTTAGTGGGGCCGCAGGCAAACCCTGCGGAGCAGGACTCGCGGCAAGCCGGCTGGACTTGGGTCCACTGCCAAGCCTGGCGAGATCCTCGATGGCTAAAGGGCCATCCACAAAAATGCACAGTCCGACGGGCGGGTTCTAAAAGTTCTGGGCCGTCACCCAGGTTCGCTGGCCCGTCAAGAGTTCCACAAGTCTGGAGAGCAGATTGCCTTCCATCTTCGGATGCAACCGCCCCTAGCCCTGCTGCACGATGCCGGCACCCTGCGGGACCAGCGGGAAGGTCACCTCGTGACGTCCGACGCACGTGCCGTGACACTTGCGACACGAGATGCCCATGAAAGAAAGTCTGTGAAGGCGGAGGCACATCCGAGACCCAGCGTCGGTCCACGGGCCGGCGTGAGCCCTTCGGGGAGACGTCGGCCTCCAGCCCAGCATCTATCATGTCCTGACACAAGACACATCAAGACACCAAATGCGCAGAAAGAGCAGCGCAGAGGCCATGCGGGAGCTCCTTGCAGAGGTTGTCCATGGCCTGAGCGGACAAGATGCAGCACCTTTGGTCCACGTGCCAGTTCACCTCCACCGGCGAGCAGACCTGCCAGCTGCCGGCCAGAGCAAGGGCTAGTGACTGGTGCAAACGTAGAGGCACAGCCTCAGCATGACACCACGTCAGTCCTCGTCGTCGTAAGAGGGGCCAGTGGTGGAGCCCACGTACCGGACAGCGGAGCCGGCAGGAGGTTGCTGCCACTGCTCCAGGAATGTCCGGTTTTGGGCATCCACGTAATCGTTCTGCAGGGCAGCAGATGCACAGATTCAGATGCGCATCCGAAAACCAGCCCAGCAATGATCACTCGGGCCCGGCTAGCGCAGATCCGCAGAAATTAAAGCTCGGCATGCTGGCGGTCCAGCGAAGGGTCGTTGACGATGAGGCAGATCTGCACACGCTGCAGCATCATGCAGCATCCACGATACGCGACAGGATTTGCACACTCGGCGGTCACCGTGCCTGCGCCCGGACGATGACATCTGCGTTGTTGGTGCGCGTGAAGGCGCCGCCCAAGCCGGCCCTACCGAGATATCTTGCATGCTGCGCTCGCCCCATGCTGAGGCACTCTCCAAGATCTGCAGCACAGGCACGTGATGCCCAGCTCCCCCTCGCTACCATCCTCCTGCAGCTTGCCCGGTCCTCATGCGCAAAGCCGTCACCCGCATCCACGAATCAGCCGTGCTGCGTGTGCCACACACGCCTCCAGTAGAGAAGACCCAGTGGAACTCGTACCTGTGGAGCGCTGGGCTACACTCGACTTGGCACCTCACCTCTGCGCAAGCGTGAAGGGAGGGAGGGAGAGTGGGGGGGTGGCACGTGCCACCGACTTGTGCAGCTTTGCAGTAGGTGAAGCTGAAGGAGGATTCGTCCAGCTTGGCGTCGTCGATACCTCAACTGCCACTGCGACCCCTCACTTGCACCCAGAATCCGAAAACATGTGTAGCCTCGTGGCCGTCTGTGGGGCACCACAAGCCAGGGACCACCGGCTGGGAAACGTTGTTCTCATCCGGCACGGTAACGTAGCTCGCCTTCTCGACAGATATCTCTGTGGTGACACGCTAGTGGGCCACGGTGCAGCCTGGGCACCCACTCTGGAGACCGCCTGTCATACGCGTTCTCCATGCGGTGCTCCGCCCCCAGATGCCAGTGGATGTTCACTTGCTCGAACCTGAAGACTTAAGGTAAAGAGTGAAGAGCAAGAACCTCAAGAGCAACGGGCTGGCGTCAGGTGCCTGTCGATCTGATCGGAGCCATAGGGTTCGTACCTCAGAAGCACGCCGGAGCAGCTCAAGACAGCGTCCGCGCACTTTTCGAGGCCTCGTGATCCTCTCGCCAATGTAGCCCGGACTTACGTCCCGCGGAGCTTGAGGCTCAGCGTCCTGCACCGACACAGCCGCATAACCGCAACATCCCCACACGCTGCGCTCGCCAACGCGAGTGGCTCCTGGCAGAGAAGATCAGCGCCGCGAGCCTCCCACACCAGGCAGCAGAGAAAGAGTTTGGAGAGCTGCATGGCGCAAGTCTAGTTGAGACCTTCCTTTGCTACACAACTTGAGCAAACGTCTCCGCGGCACTGACATCTGCGCATCACATCCGACATTCTCATGTCGTACCGTCTGCAAAAGCCTGTCGCACTTGCGGCCCTTCCCCTCAAAAAGCAGTGCAAGGCGATTACACGGGAGTTGACATCAGCGGCGGACGAGCATTCTCTTTGGTGCTCTGTGTGTTCACTGAAATTGTGACTCCACAACAGTGCGTAGTATCTCTGTGTAGCACATGAACACTGCGTAGACATGGAGATAGGTAGGTCGAGGTCGGCACGTATAGCTCCGTGAGCAGGCTGGGTCACTCAGCTCCCAATGCTCGAAATACATGCAGACGCAAGCCGTGAAGCTTGTGCTGTGGATGTGACGTGGGATGTCGGATACGTGCTTCCGTGCTTCAACGTCAAGCTTCAAGGTGGTGAATTTCCTGAGGTTGCAAAAGCTCGGCTGGACTTGGGTCCACTGCCAAGCCGGCCACAGCCCAGGAAGGTGGCTAATAGGCCATCCACAAAAATGCCTCGAAATACAACCCTAAAACTTTGATGCTGACTCTGGCTCTAAAAGTTCCTGAGGAGCAATCCCCAGACTCGCCAAGACCCAGGTGGAACACTCTCAAGGTTCTGCTGGCTCAGGAGACGGGAGACGGTGACAGTGGGAAGGTTACTCCGGCCGAGATCTCCTGACTGACCTTGCTTCACTGCTTCACATGGGCTCCAGGCTGCCAGCTTTCCATCCTCAAGCTACAGCCGGGCGGCGAGTATTCGCGAAGGCTTGGGCGAAAGGTCCTTGGAGAGACCCTGTCCTGGCAACATGGATGGCAGCTTCGCCACATCAGACTGGTTCACATGTTTGCAAGCTCTGCAGCGAGTGGGATGGAACAAAAAGGGGAGTCTATCCAGAGAACCCCAGCCTTCCATCTCTTCGCACAGCCTCAGATCACGACAGGCTCCCCATTTAAGGATGACGATATCAGACCTGATCTACGATCTACTGGAACCTCTGGGAAACCGCCCACCGGCCAAAACAGGGACAGGCCACCTGTCGAAGGTCTGCGCAGAGAGTGTGCAGCACTCCGTGTCTACATGCCAGTTCACCTCCAGAGGCGAGCAGACCGAGTTGTTGAAGTCCGTGCCCGTCGTGGAGCCGATGTAGCGCACGGCCCTCCCCAAGGGTGGCTGGCGCCACTGTTGAAGGAAGTTATCATAGTCTGCGTCTACGTCCGTCAAGCTCTTGTCGTAGATGATCCGGCAGACTTGACCCCGGACGATCACCTTTGGGTTGATCGTGCGGTTCGCGGCACCTGCCAGACCGTCCGTGATTCCCAGCTCACCTTCGGCCCCTTCGTCACGGAGACCGACGAGCGGCGCACCCGTGGAGTACACCCAGTGGAACTCGTAGGTGTAGTTCACACTGACACCCTTACAAAATGTGAAGTTGTAGGAGTCCCGATCGTCGCTGCTCACATCATCCAGGCCGCAGAAGAAGCCTGCACGGATGTCCGGGGACGATGCCGGGCGCACCAGAGGAGTTGCGAGCCCAACGTCCTCGGCGCTGCGGAAGTAACCGTTCGGGACCTCACTCTTGTGCTCGGCGCCGAGGTGGAAGTGGAGGTTCGCCTGGATGAAACGTGGGGTGGCGTCGCCGTCCAAGGGACGTACCCGGGCCTCCAGGCCACCCCGAAAGCCAGGAGTGACATCTCGTGGGGACTGTGGCTCTGCATCCTCACAAAGCAAAATCTTTGCCGTCTCGTTGGATGTCTCGGTAGAGTTGCTCAAGAGCCTCGGAAGGGAGCAATGGGATGGGGGTAGGGTTCACAGACGTGCCGAGTGCAGTTCAAGCTGCGAAGGATTGAACTGGGGCAGAGAGCTCGATGGCCGCAAGCTGGCGTGCTTCTTGAACCTGGGAGCTACCCGAAGTCTGGCGAGTTCGCCCCATCCCCATCTACATCCGCTCAGCCTATCATTATGCTCTCAGCGGCTGCATCAATGCGGAGTCCTCGACCTGGCACTGCGTGCAGTCCTGCCAGGACATGTCCCAGACGTCCAGCGGCCCCGCCCATGTGCCCACCCTCCACCAGCGACTTCACACGAACAGCCACCGGTGCGCGACATATCATGGAGCTCACGCGACGAGGCGGTAAAACTGGAGCAAGGCTCTGTACCCCGCCCCATCAGGATTCGTTGCCCTCTGTTGGCCCCTGTTGCACTCCGGAGAGAGGATGAGAGCAGAGGAGCCGAGCGCACTGGTCTTTGCCTCTTTCTCCCTCCCTAGAATCCTAGAGTTGATCTCGTCAAGCAGTCCTTGGGAAGGGCGCTGGCGGCAGCGAAGAGGAGGAAGAGATACATGGCAACACACTTCCACACGCGGTCTCGTCAACGGGCTCTAAGCGAGGCTCTGAATTGAGGTCAACAGCGGGCAGACCTGCCGCGCATCCGGGGCATTCACTCCCTCACGACGCAGAGCTGCTGGCTGCTTCCACGTAACCTTTTCGCCTTGTCTGCATGATCGCGGGCTACGCGATTCCACAACAGGATGAAGTCGGAGAAGGGGCTGAAAAGCTCTCTCCGTGCAAAGCTCTGCCTTCTTGACAAGTAAACGAAAAAGACTTTGGTGGTCTGGCCACAGGCAAACCCTGCGGAGAAGGACTCGCGGCAAGCCCGGCTGGACTTGGGTCCACTGCCAAGCCTGGCGAGATCCTCGATGGCTAAAGGGCCATCCACAAAAATGCACAGACGGGCGGGTTCTAAAAGTTCTGGGCCGTCACCCAGGCTCGTGGCCCGTCGCGAACTCAATGGTTGGTTCATCAAGGGCTGCATTATAGGACGCCTCACTGAAGAATTTCTGGTATGGGCGATACAGCCAGAGGGTAGGTCACCACGCTGGAGAGGTTTCGGCTCACCTCAGACTTACCCGGCCACGGTTGTGACATGATGCAGCCTCCGGAAGCTTGGGTCTCACTGCTCGTGCCAAGCGGCCAGTTCCCGAGATGGCTTCGGTGCAAGGTCCTTCTCCAAGCCTTGGCCTGCACAGAAGGCTGAATCTGAAGGCTGCATATGGATGCGTGCTAAAGCAAAACACCGCGTTAAACTCCGGCAGAGTGGCGACTCATCTCAAGGCAGAGCCTTGGAGCATTGCATTAAAAGGAACGAAAAGGCAAGCTGTGGCAATCCAATCAGGCGGGCCACCTGTCGAAGGTCTGCGCGGAGAGAGTGCAGCACTCCGTGTCTACATGCCAGTTCACCTCCAGAGGCGAGCAGACCGAGTTGTTGAAGTCCGTGCCCGTGGTGGAGCCGAGGTAGCGGACTCCCCGTGTCTCTGGCGGCTGGCGCCACTTTTGAAGGAAGTTATCATAGTCTGCGTCCACGTCCGTCAGGCTCTTGTTGTAGATGATCCGGCAGACTTGACCCCGGACGATCACCTTTGGGTTGATCGTGCGGGCAGCGGCGCCTGCCAGACCGTCCGTGATTCCCAGCTCACCTTCGGCCCCTTCGTCACGGAGACCGACGAGCGGCGCACCCGTGGAGTACACCCAGTGGAACTCGTAGGTGTAGTTCACACTGACCCCATTGCAGTGCACGAAGTTGTAGGAGTCCCGATCGTCGCTGCTCACATCATCCAGGCCGCAGAAGAAGCCTGCACGGATGTCCGGGGACGATGCCGGGCGCACCAGAGGAGTTGCGAGTCCAACGTCCTCGGCGCTTTGGAAGTAGCCGTTGGTGATATTGCTTTTGTGCTCGGCGCCGAGGTGGAAGTGGAGATTGGCCTGGATGAAACGTGGGGTGGCGTCGCCGTCCAAGGGACGCACCCGGGCCTCCAGGCCACCCACGAACGTAGGAGTGAGATCTCGTGGGGACTGTGGCTCTGCATCCTCACAAAGCAAAACCTTTCCCGCAGGCGGCGGTGACGGCTCGGTCGTTGTCCTTGTGGTGGGATTCCCTCCGTAGCTGCCGTAGCTGTAGTAGCCCTGGCGTCCACGCGACCACCAGTGGCGCTTCCAGCCCCACTGCTGCCGCTGCCACTTATTCCAAGATCCATCGATGCGATCTGCCTCCTCTACCGAGGACCTTGAAAGCAAACTCGATGTGCTGCGACGACACAGCATGCTACCAGCTATAATAACACCAGAAGCTGACAGCACTCTGGCCTTGAGGGCACGTCTTGCATCAGGGAGGCATCCTCAACTTCCAACGGACAATCTTCCTGCCGGCAGTCCTGAGACACAGTTCGCCCCTAGTCTTTGCAAAGGACCGCCTTTCAGCGTTGAGGCTCCGGCTTGAGACACCGCAGCCGCAGCTGAGACGACCGCGACCAGGCGCTTCATCATAGCCATCGGCATCAGCGCACTGGACACCGTATGGACAGGCTGATCTCTGCCCGTGAGCCCGGCCGGCGAGGCGCCATGCACTCTTTATGCAATCCCGCACTTCGCACGGTTGCTGGCTCCGCCTACTTGTAGCCATTTCAAGCCTTTTCGCCTTGTCTGCGTGATCGCGGGACATGCGATTCCACAACAGGACGGACTATGGACGGGCGTTGCACCTCGCCTCCGTCTTCACAATCAGGATGTGCAAAGCTCTATATACCTCTGCCTTCAAGAAAAGTAAACGAAAAACGAAACACTTGAAGCTAAAAGAATCTTAGTGGGGCCGCAGGCAAACCCTGCGGAGCAGGACTCGCGGCAAGCCGGCTGGACTTGGGTCCACTGCCAAGCCTGGCGAGATCCTCGATGGCTAAAGGGCCATCCACAAAAATGCACAGTCCGACGGGCGGGTTCTAAAAGTTCTGGGCCGTCACCCAGGTTCGCTGGCCCGTCAAGAGTTCCACAAGTCTGGAGAGCAGATTGCCTTCCATCTTCGGATGCAACCGCCCCTAGCCCTGCTGCACGATGCCGGCACCCTGCGGGACCAGCGGGAAGGTCACCTCGTGACGTCCGACGCACGTGCCGTGACACTTGCGACACGAGATGCCCATGAAAGAAAGTCTGTGAAGGCGGAGGCACATCCGAGACCCAGCGTCGGTCCACGGGCCGGCGTGAGCCCTTCGGGGAGACGTCGGCCTCCAGCCCAGCATCTATCATGTCCTGACACAAGACACATCAAGACACCAAATGCGCAGAAAGAGCAGCGCAGAGGCCATGCGGGAGCTCCTTGCAGAGGTTGTCCATGGCCTGAGCGGACAAGATGCAGCACCTTTGGTCCACGTGCCAGTTCACCTCCACAGGCGAGCAGACCTGCCAGCTGCCGGCCAGAGCAAGGGCTAGTGACTGGTGCAAACGTAGAGGCACAGCCTCAGCATGACACCACGTCAGTCCTCGTCGTCGTAAGAGGGGCCAGTGGTGGAGCCCACGTACCGCACAGCGGAGCCGGCAGGAGGTTGCTGCCACTGCTCCAGGAATGTCCGGTTTTTGGCATCCACGTAATCGTTCTGCAGGGCAGCAGATGCACAGATTCAGATGCGCATCCGAAAACCAGCCCAGCAATGATCACTCGGGCCCGGCTAGCGCAGATCCGCAGAAATTAAAGCTCGGCATGCTGGCGGTCCAGCGAAGGGTCGTTGACGATGAGGCAGACCTGCACACGCTGCAGCATCATGCAGCATCCACGATACGCGACAGGATTTGCACACTCGGCGGTCACCGTGCCTGCGCCCGGACGATGACATCTGCGTTGTTGGTGCGCGTGAAGGCGCCGCCCAAGCCGGCCCTACCGAGATATCTTGCATGCTGCGCTCGCCCCATGCTGAGGCACTCTCCAAGATCTGCAGCACAGGCACGTGATGCCCAGCTCCCCCTCGCTACCATCCTCCTGCAGCTTGCCCGGTCCTCATGCGCAAAGCCGTCACCCGCATCCACGAATCAGCCGTGCTGCGTGTGCCACACACGCCTCCAGTAGAGAAGACCCAGTGGAACTCGTACCTATGGAGCGCTGGGCTACACTCGACTTGGCACCTCACCTCTGCGCAAGCGTGAAGGGAGGGAGGGAGAGTGGGGGGGTGGCACGTGCCACCGACTTGTGCAGCTTTGCAGTAGGTGAAGCTGAAGGAGGATTCGTCCAGCTTGGCGTCGTCGATACCTCAACTGCCACTACGACCCCTCACTTGCACCCAGAATCCGAAAACATGTGTAGCCTCGTGGCCGTCTGTGGGGCACCACAAGCCAGGGACCACCGGCTGGGAAACGTTGTTCTCATCCGGCACGGTAACGTAGCTCGCCTTCTCGACAGATATCTCTGTGGTGACACGCTAGTGGGCCACGGTGCAGCCTGGGCACCCACTCTGGAGACCGCCTGTCATACGCGTTCTCCATGCGGTGCTCCGCCCCCAGATGCCAGTGGATGTTCACTTGCTCGAACCTGAAGACTTAAGGTAAAGAGTGAAGGGCAAGAACCTCAAGAGCAACGGGCTGGCGTCAGGTGCCTGTCGATCTGATCGGAGCCATAGGGTTCGTACCTCAGAAGCACGCCGGAGCAGCTCAAGACAGCGTCCGCGCACTTTTCGAGGCCTCGTGATCCTCTCGCCAATGTAGCCCGGACTTACGTCCCGCGGAGCTTGAGGCTCAGCGTCCTGCACCGACACAGCCGCATAACCGCAACATCCCCACACGCTGCGCTCGCCAACGCGAGTGGCTCCTGGCAGAGAAGATCAGCGCCGCGAGCCTCCCACACCAGGCAGCAGAGAAAGAGTTTGGAGAGCTGCATGGCGCAAGTCTAGTTGAGACCTTCCTTTGCTACACAACTTGAGCAAACGTCTCCGCGGCACGAGGACCACGGGGTCTCCCGAATGAGGCAAATGTGAAAGGAGGGGAGGGCAAAGACGAGAGGAAGATGGGAAGAGCATCTACGAAATCATGTAAACGCGTCAGTTCATGAACACAAGTGTTTTATTGGCAGCCGCAGGATCCAGCCTAGAAAGCTTCAACATCAGCTCGGAATGCTGCTTTCTGGAAAGGCCGCCACAAGAGCCAAAGACCCTCCGCTTTCACTTTACCGGCAACGGATGCTGGGCCGATTGCAGTCTGGTGTGTCCGAGGGCTGCATGTGCTGTCGTGACGTGGCATATTTCTGCACTAGGAACGACCAAACCGTTGGCACAATCCAACACAACCCTACAGGTACCTATAAACCTACCTTCAAGCCGTCATACCTACGAAACATTCCTGCGATCACAAGGAATGTTACCGCGATCATCCCTGGCACCTTGCTACACTTCGAACAGGAGTTCGAAAGGCAGGGTGAACTTGAACTCAGTTCTTTTGAAGAAGACCTTTGCTCTTGTCTGCATCAGAAATTTTCCACACGTCGCAGGACACAAGCTGTTTGCTCACCCTTCTTCTTTGTTTCAATCTTGGTACACACACACAAACACCCCAGCAGCTTTTTATGGCTCTCCCGTGAAACGATGCATGTGCAAGCGCACGCTCAGTAGCCAGCACGCCCCAGCAGCTCCAGGTGGTCCCACACACTCATCGTCTGGAGCGGTTTGTTTTAAGTGTCAAAGACACACAACGCGGAAAAGTTCTTGCAACAGAGAGGCTGTGTGAGCCGCGGAGAGGCCCGAGACTACAGCGGCAGGCACACCAATGCCCTGGGAGAGAGCGAGAAAGAGCTTGGCTGTTAAGGCTTCACCCGGAAGCTATTTCATTTTAGAGTTCTCGTGCTGCCGACGCACTGACAAGCCTTCTGTTGTTTTGGCTCCGCAAGCTCACCACAAGTCTGATTTAAGTCTCTGAGTCCCTCCACCAAGGAGCCGGAAAAGTGGAGTCGCCACAAAGTAGCAAGCGGTCAACACCCAACTCCTCACAAGACTCAATCTGCGATTTTAGTATCTCCACCTGCTTAGTTCGTGCTCTGTATCTTTGGGTTTTGGAGGGTTGCAGTCCAGTCAGTACAGTAGCATACAGTAGCAGCAGTAGTAGCAGCAGTAGTCGTAGTAGTAGTAGCAGTAGTAGTCGTAGTAGTAGTAGCAGTAGTAGTAGTAGTAGTAGTAGTAGTAGTAGTAGTAGTAGTAGTCATAGTAGTAGCAATTGTAGTAGCAGTGCTACGACTAGTACTAGTATTAGTATTAGTATTGGTACTGGTAGTAGGAGGAGGAGGGGATGTAGTACTAGTAGTAGTAATGGTCTTGTTATTCTTATCGTTATGAGTAGGAACGGTTAGCAATTTATGCTGTAGTTTCGTGTGTCGCGCACGCAACGGTGACTTGTACCCGAAAAAGCAGAAAACTCTAATGATTCAATTTTCCGAATTACTAGTTATTGACTATTGAATTTCAAAATGTTGTGTTTCTGGTGTTTTTGTATGTGCTGAACCAAAAATGCGAAACTCAAAAATTCGAACTATTGAATTTTCTAGTTTTCGAACATCAAAATTGTATGCTTTTGGTGCTGTTTGTATGCTTCGAACCAAAAAACGCGAGAACTCAAAAACTCTATTATTTCAATTTTCGAGTCTGTCTTTAAGTGAATCTTCGAATATCCACATTTTGTGAATTTGATGTTCTTTGTGTGATTTAAATCAATACACCCGAAAACTAGTATTCACATGGTCGCCTTTTTGATTCTTTGAATCTTCGAACATCAGAAGTTTGTACTTCTTGTGTTTTGTTATGTGTTGAACCAAAAGGCACGAAAACTCGAAAGTTCGAAACATTGAACTTTCGACCTTTCGAGATGTTGAATTTTCATAAATCAAAATTGCATGCATGTTTTGTGCTTTTCTATTTGTGTATATTGAACCAAAAGACACGAAAACTCTAAAAGTCTAGTTTTTGAATTATTGAATTTTGATAGGGTTGAGGGTTTTGGGGCTTCAGAGTTTCGTAAGCGTCGGATGGAGGGTTTACGGGTGTGGGGGTTAGCGTCTCAGCAACCATGTAGTATGTGTCCGTAGCTCTGCAGCCGACGCTTTGTGTGTTGGTCTGTTGTCCTTGCCATCATTCCACAAACGTCACCGGTCTTCTCATCATTCTAATTCGGGCGGTCAGTATTGCAACGTGAGCAACCATGTGCGAAGCTCGAGTAATGCGGCTACGCATGACCTAGGCCCTAACCTCTAAACCCCAAACCAACCAGGGGCTGAAGCATTGATTCTCTTTTGAAGGGTTCGAAGCGTTCAGAATCGAAGGCATAGCGCGTCTATCTGCGGTTTAAAGCCATCGCCTTCTCGGAGTCTCATACGTCTGATTGGCCCCTCCTACCTTAAGTTTGGGGCTAGGTTGTCGCCGAACAGACACACGCCCATCCGACGCCGACAACAAATCGCACCCCGAGCTGTCACACATACGCTCATACCGGTAACAAACCGTACTCCGAGTGCAAACCGATGCACATATCAAAATGTTCTGCAAGTCGTAGCTACTTTGTGATGCATGATCGCACCACATGTTGCGTTGATGCCCGGAACAAATCCTTCCCTGATCTCATCATTATAGACTCAGGCCGATGCCCGCAGCCCCACCTCCTGTGCGATCATGCCTATGCCACCCTTCCAGCTATGATCTCACAACATGCACATATCGACACAAGACGCACCCTTTGTGATGTTTGATCTCACGACAGACAAAATACCCATGCCGATGCCCAGACCCAACAACATGTGTGATCTCACAGCCTACATACGCGGCGATCCGATGCCCCTAACAAATTGGACCCTGTCTGGCGTAACCCCCTGTAAAGCGTAAGCGCACACGCCGACGCAAGCCGATGCAAGCAGACCCACATGCAAGCCGTGTTCACAAGACGATTTTGCCATGACCTAAGCATGCATATGAAGCAGTAAAGCCTCTGACGGGAAACCGGCAGGCGACCATCGTGAGTATTGCTGGGTTCCAGTCAGAGCCACTAAGTCTCTAAGCGATCATCGTCAGCATCATTGGGTGCCCAATCGGAGCCTGTGGGCGAGAGCATGAGGTACTGCTGTTGAAACGACTGGGGTCACACGAGCATCATGAGCATCATCGCGGGCCTGTTTCTCCGCTCCAGAGCGGTTTGAAACGCCACTTTCAGATATCCAAACAAGACCCAATTCGGCAACGGCGATGGGCTCCGCCACGCATCCCTTGTTGAAACTCAACTAGCCCCGGAGGCTAGCTTTCGTGAAGCGGAGCGCCGTGGTTTAACCCGGTGCTGCTTGCCAAGGAACAGCGATTCACAAAATGCTGAACCGATTTCCTACATGCCGTTGAGGGCGCCCAGTCAAAAAAATCTATCTACAGGCAGCATTGGCTTCTAGCTTTCGAGGGATTCGTGGAGATAGGCTGAGGTTCTGTTTTGGTAGCACGTCATCTACCACCATAGTCTGAACGAGAATGACAATGACTAAGCTGACAAAACTAAGAGTACTGTAAGTAATACTGATTACAACACTATTAGCCCTGACAACAATTCTGTTAAGACTAGGTCGTAATAGCAATCACAGTAACAGCAGCATCAAAAGTAGCGGTACTATAGTACTAGTACTTGTGCTACTACTAGTAATCGCAATCGTGAAGTAACCCTAATAGTACCGGCCATAGCAATAGTAGTTCTGATAGTGATTCTAATGGTAGTTTGAAAACAGCAGTAGCAGTAATTGTGCTGATAGTAAGAATAATCGCAGCCCACTAATGGTTTTGGTAACGTAACATTCATAGCAGAGCAACAGTCATCATACTGGAAGTAGTAGTAGTAGTAGTAGTAGTAGTAGTAGTAGTAGTAGTAGCAGTAGTAGTAGTGGCAGCAGCAGCAGCATTAGCAATAGTACTAATGACAGTCCAATGACGGTGATCGAAAACATCGTCATAGCAATCGTAACAGAATCCGTGAGGTCAATGGCAATTGTGATGGTAATCGTGATGTACGAAACATGCACAGAAAACAATAAACGTAGATGTAACCAAACAATGACACGAGCAGACACGCAGATGGAGGGCTTTCTCCTCGGGCCTTCGTGGAATGCCGATTGTGCCTACACACGGTCCTCGGGGCTCTGTCGGTTGCGGGGCCTCTGCACAGACTCAGTTTGGCTTTCAGACCTTCGTGCCAATACCTGAGCTTCGTGCAAGGCATCGCCTGCAGTCCGGAAAGGAACCTGGCATCGAATGATGCCGGCGATCGGTGGGAATGTCTGACGCAGATTTGTCTTCGATCATGCGACTGCACGGCACATGCACCCTGCAGCAAGCGGCCAAAGCGGGGCTGCACTGCAAAGAGCAAGAAAGCAAGCACCCCTTCAACGTCCTCGGACGACCCAGTTGCGCCTGGCCAGGACCGAAGCGGCCGAAGACGGGAGCTGGCCCGTAGGTCCCGGCCTCAGGCATTCTCTGGCAGGTTAGGGCCGCTAAAGTGAGCCCTAAACCCAAATTCCCCCATATTGCTTCGCATTGCTTCAAATTTTGGCCAAAGCACCGCGCGGCGAAGGAAACGTTTGTGGGTCAAGGGACTTCCGACCATTGCCACCTGTTGCTGCCGGTGCTGTTCACAAAGCGAAGCAGGCCAACCCATTTCCAGTCCAACCTCTGCACGCTGGCGGGCATCCGGAATCACTTCCTTCAGATGCACAAAACTTTAGAATGCTACTGCTACATGCCTTTTAACCTCATCAGAATGCAAGAAAATGACCTGGAAATCTCACTTACTACAGAACTACTTGCACAAGCCTGAGCGGCTAGCTTACTCTACGTTGAGGCCGTTTGCATGGGAGTTGGCACAACTACTTCTACGACTACTTCTACTACTACTAATTCCGGGTCCTGCAACTGCTACTGTTACTGGTTATGCTACTGCTAGTAGTACTGCTCTGAGACTGCGACTGCAACTACCTACGACTCCTACAATACTAGCACTGCCTACCACTGCCACTACCACTACCAGCACCACCACTACCACCACCACCACCACGACTACTACTATTGCTACTACTGCTACTACTACCGCCACCACCACAACGACTATTACGATTACGACTACGAAGACGACGACGACTACTACTACTGCTCATGCTCCTATTTCAATTAAAATCTGCGCGAGCGTGCTCTGGGCATAGCGGGCGCTGGTAATTGCCTGCACCCGTGAAACTGTCCCTAATGGGTTTCATCTACTCCATCACACATGACGACAGCGCCAGCGCTTCCCTTCCTAGCCACCATCCTTCTGCTGTTGCGGTCGCTTGGAACTTGAAGGCGGCTGCCGGGAGCTGTGCTTTTCTCCTACATGCCATGCTCTATGCGCATCCGCTTTGGAGGCTCCTCCCCAGACTTCTTGGGAATGAACTGAACCTTTCGGGTGGTAAGGCCCGCGGACTTGGCCGTCTCATTGTATACGGTGCGGATGGTGGTGGCAACAAGGTCAAATTCCTGGCTACTGACACTGCCACTGCTACTGCTACTGTTACTGCACTGTTGCTGCTGCTGCTACTACTACTACTACTACTACTACGACTACGACTACGAGTACTACTACTAGTACTACTACTACTACCACCACCACTACTACTACTACTACTACTACTACTACTACTACTACTACTACTACTGCTACTGCTACTGCTGCTACTGCTACTGCTGCTACTGCTACAACAACTGGACAAAGCTTCGACAGGCACACAGGCACCGAGAAGACAGCCTCTGCAAACCTTTCGGACCACTTTGGCCCACAAGTAACACATGCGGTAAGAGAGAATCACGGGCTCAGACCGGGTCTCTCAATCTGACGTGCCTCCAGCGCTTCCCAAAGCCTTTTTGACCTTTCATCTTTGAGCGCCTGCTTCACCGCTGATCGAGCGACAAATCTCACTTGGAAGCTGGCTTGGCTTGCGAAAAGCTGTCAGTGAAAAGGAGCCACGGGAAGGTGCTCCTCGTAGGCTTCGCGGCCCTTGGCCTCAGTTTCGGGTGAGATTCCGTGGCCGCTGGCCACCTGCTTCACTCACAACAGCTTCGCCAGAAACCACTTCAATCAGAAAAGCGAGATTCCTGCAGTTCGCACATCAAATCCCAACAGCTAGCGCCGCGCGTAACGCCAAACAGCAGAGACCCAAGGGCGCGCGCCTGCGTATCTTGCCAAATGTCGAAGGGCTCGTTCCCGGCCCTGCCGGATCGTTGATCAGCATGTGATGCCAACCAGGACCACGAACAGCGAAAGAAGCCCCTAAGAACACCTAGCAGCCTAGCAGTGGTGTTGCAAAGTTGAAAACAAGGGCACCACTGAGGTTCCCAACAAAACGGGAGCACCTCATCTTAGACCCCATTGAACGCCGGGAATTCAGCGCGGGTGGCGGACTTGTGATTGGCAAGAGATGGCAGCATGACTCATCAAGTTCGAGATGGCCACATTTTTGGAACATATAATGCATCGCGGGTGGTAGCAGGCTCACTTGTATTTTTTGTCTTGGACGCGACTGTCGTGCGTCTAAGATGTAAAGTGTTCCTACTTCCAGGTTTGCTGCACAGCAGTGGCTGAAGCCCCTTGCAGCTTCACTCTTCGCTCACCCGGATGAACCTTGGACCGAAGACAAAAACCCTGAGGAGCGCCATTTACATCATTTACCGAAGACGGGATCCCGAAGACGCAAACCCGGAGGAGTGAATCCAGCAGGAACCTGTTGCTGAAGACGAAAACCCCACGGAGTAATCCCAGCACGAACCTTTTGGAGTGAACCTTTGACCGAACAGAACAACCCTAGGCAACCGTTGACCGAAGACGAACACCATGAGGCGTGAACCCAGCAGAACTTTCGAACGAAAACGAAATTCCTAAGGAGAGCTCCTTTTACCGAAAACGAAATCCTTACGGAGTGAACTTTTTACCGAAAACGAAATCCCTAAGGAGTGAACCTTTGACCGAGGAGAACAACCTAAGGAGTAAACCCAGCATGAACCTTCTTGAATGAACCTTTCACCGAAAACGAAAACCCTGAGGACTGAACCCAGCAGGAACCTTTTACCGAAGACGAAAAAGCCCCAGGAGTGAATCCAGCAGAAACCTGTTGCCGAAGATGAAAACCCCAAGGAGTAATCCCAACATGAACCTTGTGTGACGGTTGTGGCAGGGTGCGAAATAGAGGAAAAGTGTCATGGCTAGCATGCCTGTTTTGCGATCGTCTGCAGAGATTGGCTGTTTTTGGAGACAAAAAATCACAACCCACATGGGCCCATGAAACAAGCTGAAAAGTTTCATCTAAGACAAAGAACTACATCTAAGCCTTCTGCCGTCGCGGGTCCTCGGAGGACGCGCACGCAGCGCTACTGCGGAAAGAACGCGATTGTAGTCGAAGATGACCACACGTCACTGGAGCAGCGATTTAATCATCTCTGCTAGAGTGCCGCGACCCCACCAGACTGTGGGGAAAGACGGAGCCTCGCGAACCGGGCTCCATGCACGGGAAACGTCACAAAAAAAAACGCGCTTCGCAGCATCGGTGCAGAGGGCGAAAAAGGCAGCAGATCAGGGCATCAAAACGAGAGTTGTTGGGGGCAGGACGCGTTTGGGGCTCTACCTTCTCGAGAAGCCACACATCTCGGCTTCACGCACGGAAGTACACTCCTCAAAACACCTCACTGCTTGGACCCGAAAACAAGCTGTCCCGTAGAGGTGGAGGATGAGCTTCCCAGGTGGGCACAAGCCCGGATCCAAGAGTGCTGGGTTGGAGATGGCCACCTGGCGAAGCACGCGCGGAATCGCTTCAGCGCAACTATATACGACTCAATTCGTCTTCCGGCTGCAAGCCGGCAATGCGGCAATGCAAAGAGCTACCTTTGAACCCCAGACAAGCCCATGCGCAGGTGCAGAGGCTAGTGCTATCCGAAAGGCTCGCACGGCAAAGGTGCAAAGTCCTTTTCTGATCGCGCAGGTCATGCTACAAGCCAACATCTTGCCTCGGCCTGCTGTTGTGACAGCGTGGTACACTGAATGGTCATGTTTTTGGGGGTTACGAGAGCTTCCAGTCACAATCAGCAGCTTGAGCTCTGGGTCCTTCAGAGAGGGGGAATCCTTGAGCTTTTAGATGCCACGAGTGTGAGCTCAGGGCCAACATTCAGCGAGGCTCTAAAGCGAGGCTTGGGCTCTGAGACTCTGGCTTGCTATGCTTGGCTATGCGCTTGCCATGCCGATGTTGGCCCATCCGGTGTTCATCCGATCCGGTCTCTAGAGCGGCGTAGCAGCGACCGAACCACAAAGCTTCCATGTCAAGAGCTAGCTGAGGCTCAGGCTCAGTGGCTCAGTGGCTCAGGTTTGGAGGATGTCTTGGATGGCTTCGCGATGCTTCGCTTCGCGGGTGCGCTTTTGATGGCTCTGCATGGTTTAGCTTTGGGAAAGGCTGGTGCTGCGCCGGCTCGGCAGCATGCAGGTCCAGAGAAGAATTATACGCAATAAGGAACAAGACCTCTGCTCCGGACCGCATCTGAAGTCGCGCGTCAATCAAAGCGTGACGGCTTTATGTCACTCACTGACATGCTATCTGGTAGCACAGTCCATCGCTCCACCAAAGCTTTGCCCCAGTCGATGCCTTGTGAACCCTGAGCCCTCGAGCATTCGAGCGCCGAAAGCCCAGTACCACGCCTATCTGGGGCGCCCTCGGTGAAAGAAGCCTCTTCAGGAACTGATGATAACTGATGATCTGATGGCCTGTTGAAGCCGAAAGGCGAAAGGTGTCACTCTGGGGCTCAGGGCCTGCTGGGGTGTAGGAGCCAATGAACGAGCCTTCGTGTCCCTCCAGAGGATGCCTATGAAGTCTGCAGCCTTGGACTAGAACAGTGCATCCTTGGATTTGGACATATCATCCTCGACAGCTTCTCAAGAGCTTCGGAGCTTAGGTTTGTTTAGTGAACCCGTTGATCCAACATGCCGCAACCTGCCTCGCTGGAAACGACCCGAGCACTTTGCTTTGCTCCGTGCTCTTGACAGCTTGCAAACGGCGACGCGGCGCGGCCCCGAGGCCAGTTTAGTGCTGCATCCACGCCCCATAAGCCCTCGAATAGTGCACTCATGCTACTGCACATGCAGCAACACGATGCTATTGTACATACTCAAGCATGTGTGCACACATAGACAACGGTTTGAATCTGGCGAGCATACCGCATAAGGCGTATTGCCATTGTGGCTACACTCACGACTGTGACCACGGTTATGGTATGGCGAGTCCTTAACAGCAGTAGTACTGGTAGCAGCAGCATGTCGTCGTTGTAGCAGTAGGAGCAGCGGCAAGCATCAGTAGAAGGAGCAGCAGCAGCAGCAGTGGTGGTCGTCGTCGTGGTGGCGACGGTAGTCGTAGTAGCGTCGCCGTTGTGTAGTGGCAGTGCGAGTACGTGTGCGAGTGCTCATGCTAGTGCTACTACTAGTACTAGCATGTACTAGGTAGCAGTCGTCTTCGTCGTCGTCATCGTTACCGTAGTCGCAGTAGCAGAACTAGCAATCATATGCATATTACGAATACTGATACTAATACCAATACCAGTACT